AGTAGGAATCTGTATCAGAAGTGGGGTGCTACCGCTATAACCTTGTCTCCTTCCCCTTGGGACTCAGGGGCAGGCAAAGTTAAGAAGGACAGAGAAGAGCCTGTTCGGAAAGACAAGGGAAAAAAGGAGTCTGCCATGGAACTTGGAGACAGAGGAACTCAAGTTCTGGGTTGTCTATCACCTGTAGTAACTTGGACGCCAGAAACCATTTCTAACTAAGTTGTGACTTTAGCTAGAGAGATTTCCTGGCAGGATGCTGAAATTGTCTTATTTTAGATTCTTGTGATGAGGCATTTCAGGACACATGTGCTGGAGGTGGGGGTGGGGGAGGGTAGGGGGTGGGAGGAATTGGGGAAGATAGAGTGGAGGTGGAAACGGGTGGGCAGGGAGCCAGGAGCAGTGACTCACATCTGTGATTGTTGTAGCATTTGGGAGGCTGAGGCAGGAGGATTGCTGTGAGTTTGAGGCCAACCTGGGCTACTTTGTGAGTTCTAGGACAGCCTGGATCACAGCATGAAGCCCTCCTTCAAAGAAACAAAATGTAAAAATCACACACATACAAACCTACTCAGTTTCCCAGCAGAATTTAGAGAAAATATTTCTAAAAGGACTGGCAAATTTGAAAAATAAAATCCTTTTTTCTTCCTTTTTGACTGACTCCATGATTATTAAAAGCCCATGCTCTTGCAAAGGACCAGGGTTAAATTCCCAGCATATTTATCCAGTGTCTCACAGCTGACTATAACCCCAATTCCAAGAGATCTGATGCTCTCTGACCTCTATATAGTATATATCAACTTACATAGGCACACACACGTACACATAATAAGTAGATAAATAAATCTTTTTTAAAGGCTATTTTCTTCTTTTGTCCTTTCTTTCTTTCTTTCTTTTTTTTTTTTTTTAAACTTTATTTATTTATTGTAAGTACACTGTAGCTGTCTTCAGACACCCCACAAGAGGGCATCAGATCTCATTGCAGATGGTTGTGAGCCACCATGTGGTTGCTGGGATTTGAACTCATGACCTCTGGAAGAGCAGTCAGTGCTCTTAACCACTGAGCCATCTCACCAGCCCCTCTTTCTTTCTTTCTTTCTTTCTTTCTTTCTTTCTTTCTTTCTTTCTTTCTTTCTTTCTTTCTTTCTTTCTTTCTGACAGGGTTTCTCTGTATAGCCCTGGCTGTCCTGGAACTCACTCTGTAGACTAGGTTGGCCTCAAACACAGAGATCTACCTGCCTCTGTCTCCCAAGTGCTGCAATTAAAGGTGTGCACCACCTTGCCAGGACAAAAAGCTCTTACAAAATAACCTCAGGACAAAAAAAAAAAAAATTCCTTGTTGGCTATGGGCAGCTGAATCTCTAAGTTCAAGTCTAGCCTGGTCTATATAGAGAGTTTCAGGTCAGTCAGGGCTACGTAGTGAGACCCTGTCTATGATGGTTTGAATAGGAATAGCCCTATAGACTCAAGTGTTTGAATGCTTGGCCCATAGGAAGTGGCACTATTAGGAGGGTCAGCCTTGTTGGAGTAGGTGTGGCCTTGTTGGAGTAGGTGTGGCCCTT